GGCTTGATATTAGAAAAAAGGCAAATATCATTACCAAAACGAAGAGGACTAATTTTTCTTTTAAATAAAGTAGCCGAGCTCATTACACTTGTATCATATTGCAATGTTGTTGCACAGGCTATGTCCATTAATATTTACAATTATTGCTTTATTTTGCATTTCATCAAATGAGGGGATCATTTGTTGTAAAACATTGAAAAAGTGACCTAATAGGAATAAAGGGGAGGGTGCACATAGCAACAAGAAATAAGATACAAACAAATAAACAGATTGCAACAGCTGATACTCTGGGAAATCATCACAAAAGTACTCCCTTTTTCTCAATCTAAAGCAAGCTCCTTTTCTCTTCAAGGTTAACATTTGCAGCACTGCTAAATACTTGGACGCAGCCAGCATGATTATGTTCAAAATTGTTCACATAAAATGTTTGTTGACAAGGAATGCAAGTTTTAAGATGTGCTAAGTGAAGTAATTAATACAATGTAATGATTCTTGCATACTTACCTAAGCTTTAGATATGTTCAAACTCTTTTTAGACTATGTGGCAAGACTTGTGTTAAAATATTTCAGGCATGATTATATTTTTAATTTTGGGACCACAAACCTTGAGAGTTTGTACTCAAGGAAGACTTTAGTATGCTAGACTATAGTATGTCTACACTACAGTGTTCTTTCAAAATATCTTATTTCGAAATAGTTACTTCAAAATAAGTTATTTCGAAATAACGTGTCTACACACAAAATGCATTTTGAAATAGTGCATCCACGCTGAGTGGACGCTGAATCACATTTAAGACCGGCCGGAACCAGGTCCAGCAGGGCATCAGGTCAGGAGTTACCTGATGGCTGCTGCCTGAGGCTATCTGAGGCCTGTGCTTAAAGGGACCCCCCCACGGACAGCCAGTTCTCAACTTTCCCTGCTTCCTTGTCTACCTCAATGAGGGACAGCAAAGCATTTTCTCTGTGTGTTCTGGTTGCCCTCACTCAGGACAGCACAGCACTCTGCAACATAGAGCCAGAGCTGCCACTGGGCACTCTGCTGCTTCTCGTGGATGCATTGCTGCGAGCCTGGCTGCACTTTCTGCAGGCTTCCATCTGGGAGGTACATCGGCGGGCTGTCAGTATCCAGGAGGCCTTGCAGGAGAGCTTCCATCCTGAGGAGCACTAAGAGCCTCCCTGGTCTGCCCCACTGGGGGCTTATTCCTCATTCCTCCCTCACATCCTTCCACTTACCCCTCCCTAATGACAAATAAAAAACACGTATTTTCATGAACACAAACTCTCTTTGGGTCCGTCTACACTACAGTGCTAACTTAGTTCAAACTAACTTAGTTCGAATTAGTTAATTCGAACTAAGCTAATTCGAACTAATGCATCTAGAACTAAAAACTAGTTCGAATTAGCATTTTGCTAATTCGAACTAGCGCGTCCACACTGATTGGACGCAGGAGCGCATTTAAGGGCGGCTGAAACCGGTTCTGGCAGGGCATCAGGTCAGTAGTTGCTTTGTGTGGCTGGGGGCTGGGGGCATCTGATTGGACGCAGGAGCGCATTTAAGGGCGGCTGAAACCGGTTCTGGCAGGGCATCAGGTCAGTAGTTGCTTTGTGTGGCTGCTGTCTGAGGCTATCTGAGGCT